CAGCCATGGCCCACGGGCCCACGGGCCCAGCCGCTCTGCGGCATGTGGGATCTTCCCAGATCGGGGCACGAACCCGTGTCCCCTGCATCGGCAGGCGGACTCTCAATCACGGCGCCACCAGGGAAGCCCCTAACCTAACTTTTTGTTTGGCGTTTAGGGCAGGCTTCTCAGAGGCTGATACATCTAGTTAAAACCTGAAGCCTTAGTATGAGTTGACTAGATGAGGGTGAACCTTCTAGGCAGAAAAACCAAGTGTTTCTTAGAAGTAAGAAAAGGAAAAAGCATGAAGTGGTTAGCCATCTACTAATAATTTAGTATAGCAGAAGCGTGGGAGAGGGGGAGGAAGGAATATAAGGCTAGATAAATTTGGAAAGAAAATCAGCAGCAAGACTCCTTCCCCACCCCCACCACCATCCCTGGGCTTTATAATCATCCTGAGGATGATGCGTGAGTGTTTTAAGCTTCAAGCAGTAGAGTGACAAAATCACATTTTTGGTGTGTTTTAAGTTCACTCTCCCTGTCTTATGGAGAATGGATTGGTGGGACCAAGCATGGAGGCGAAAAGACCATCATTGCAATAGCTAAGTGTGACACAAAGGATTAATCCAATCCTCCTCCTCCTCCTCTTCCACAGCCTGAAGGGTTCTCTAGGCTGGCAATAAAATGGGGCCACTGCATGACACCAAAAGCATAGGTAATAAAAGTCAAACTAGATAAACTGGACTACATCAAAATTTAAAGCTGTGCATCAAGTTTCACAATCACCAGCATGAAAAGGCGACCTATGGAATGGGAGAAAATATTGCAAATCGTATATCTGATAAGGGGTTAATACCTAGAATATATAAAGTATGACAGCTTTAAAAAAAAAAAAAGCCCAATTAAAAAATGATCAAAGGACTTGAATGGACATTTCTCCCAATAAGATATAAAAGGGCCAACAAGCACATGAGAAGACACTCAACATCACTAATTATCAGGGAAATGTAAATCAAAACTACAGTGAGATACCACATCACACCCATTAGGATGACTATTATCAAAAGAACAGAAGAGTGTTGATAAAGATGTGGATAAGTCGGAAACGTGTGCACTGTTCAGGGGAATGTAAAATGGTGCGGCTGCTGTGGGAAATAGTGTACGAGTTCTTCGAAACATTAAACATAGAATTACCATATGATCCAGCAATTCTACTTCCAGATATATACACAAAAGGACTGAAGGGTCTTGAAGAGATATGTGTGCACCCATGCTCATAGCAGCATTATTCATAGTAGCCAAAAGGTGAAAGCAACCCAAGAGTCCATCAGCAGATGAGGATAAAATATTATTCAGTCTGAATCTTGAGGACACTATGCTAATGAAATAAGCTAGTTCCAAAAAGACAAATACCATATGATTCCACTTAAATGAGAGAGTCAAATTCATAGAGACAGAAAATAGAATGATGGCTGCCAGGGGCTGAAGGGAGGGGGAAATGGGGAGTTGTTTTTCAATGAATATACAGTTCCTGTTTTGCAAGATGAAAAGACTTCTGGGGATTGGCTACACAATACAAATGTATTTAACACTACTCAACTGTATACTTAAAAATGGTTAAGATGGTAAATTTTGTTATGTGTATTTTACCACAATTTTTTTTTAATCGATCCTCAAAAAAAAAAAAAAAAATCCACTGCTTGGGGACTGCAAGTTTGCTAGGAACTGAGAGGTGGGGACCATTTGGGAAGCCAGAGGGGAGAACATACCTAATAGACTCCCAGTGAACAGAGTGGGCTTCTGGGCTGGTCTAGTGGCTGTGGAGCAGGTTGAGTGAGGGCAAAGTTCAGAGGAGTAGAGACATCTCATACCAAGCATTTATGTGCCCATATTGCTGATTTCCTAGTCAGTTGTTGCTTCCTCCTGTTCATTTTGAGAGGGAACTGGAGAATGGGTTCTATAAACCCAGGATGGAGGAAAGCTCTTGAATAGTAATTCTCAAATAAAATGGCACTGTTCTCTAAAGGGGTGTGGTGTTGTTTGTGTGGGATGCTAAAGGCCATGCACAGAATAGGTCAGCAAAACAAAAAATTATCTTACACCCCATATGACTTGCAAATGGCCCAAGGGACATTTATGGACATAGCAGGTGGCAGAACCCTCCCCTAGCTTCCTCAACCTGTAAGAGCTGTTGTGTTAGGAAAAGCCAACAGAAACCCTTGAAACTGTCCATGACTCCCAGCCAAGATTATAAATAAAAAATAATATGGCACCGTAAAGGGAATGGTAGAGATTAGTGTCACTTTGAAGGACTTAAAGGATGCTGGAACAATGATTCTATCATATCCCCATTTAATTCACTAATTTGGCTTTTGCAAAAAATGAGGAATCATTGTACCTGGGAGTGAATTACTGAAAACCAAATAGTAACCCCAACAGCAGCAGCTGTGCCAAATGTAATACCTTTGTTAGAGGAAAACAGGAAACAGACATAACAGACATATACTTTCCTTGTCTTGCCTGGGGCTATGTTAATTTTTCCACTCTCTGTCATAACATATTCTGAAGGGACCTGGATGATCTGGACATTCTTGAGAACATTATAGCAGTCTACTGTATCAATAACATCAACGCTAGCCAAATCGAATAAGCAAGAAATGGCAAGTACTTTGAGGCTTTGGGGAATGGGAGATAAACCTTATGAGGATTCAGGGGACTGCCACCTAAGTGGCCTTCTTAGGAGTCCAGGGCCTTGGGCCAGCCAGGCCATGCCTTCCAATGTAGAAGACATGTTATTACACCTTGCACCGATCCTAACTTTAAGAAGGAAACACAGCACCTCATGTTTCGGAGGAACATACTCCACCCTTGATTATTTACCATGTGACCTGGAACTCTTCCAGGTTTGGGTGGAGCCAAGAGCAGTAAAGGGCTCTGCAGCAAGTCCAGGTTGCAGTGCAAGCAGTTCTGCAACCTGGGCCATATTTTGGCACACCTGATGGTAATTAGAAATATCTGCGGTGAGAAAAGTTGCCTTTTGGAGTTTATGGCAAGTTCTTTTTTTTTTTAAATCTATTTATTTTTGGTCACGTTGCATGGCATGTGGGATCTTAGTTCCCTGACCAAGGATCAAACCCACACCCCCTGCTGTGGAAGCTCGGAGTCTTAACCACTGAACCACCAGGGAAGTCCCTATGGCAAGTTCCAGTAGGAGGATCACAATGTTGACACATAGGGTTCTGAAGCAAGGCCATTCCATCTTCAGCAGAGAATTGTATACCATCGGAGAAACAGCTCAAGGCAAACTACTAGAACAGACACACTGGAAGAGCTGAGTGACTGACTATGGGACATCAACTGGCCATTAAATCAGAACTGCCCATTATAGGGCTTCCCTGGTGGCGCAGTGGTTGAGAGTCCGCCTGCCGACGCAGGGGACACGGGTTCGTGCCCCAGTCTGGGAAGATCCCACATGCCGCGGAGCGGCTGGGCCCGTGAGCCATGGCCGCTGAGCCTGCACGTCCAGAGCCTGTGCTCCGCAATGGGAGAGGCCACAACAGTGAGAGTCCTGCATACCGCAAAAAAAAAAAGAACTGCCCATTATAAGTTAGGCACTTGTCAGATCCACCAAGTTGTAAAGTTGGGTGGATATAGCAACAATCCATCATAATATGTAAGGAATACAGTCTGATTCAGGCATGAGTAGCTACAGAGGATACAAGCTCCAGGAGTACCTAGCCCATACTCCTAAGTCCTCCACCACTGATAGTGGAGAATAAAGCCTGATCTTTGTTGACAGATGTCAGCTCAGTATGTGGATACAAGTCAAAATGGACTGCTGTAGCCCTGCAGGCCACTCAGAAGTGGCCTTGAGGACTTCCCTGGTGGTGCAGTGCTTAAGAATCTGCCTGTCAATGCAGGGGACACGGGTTCAGTCCCTGGTCCGGGTAGATCCCACATGCCGTGGAGCAACTAAGTCCGTGCGCCACAACTACTGAGCCTGCACACTGCAATTACTGAAGCCCACAGGCCTAGAGCCCGTGCTCTGTAGTAAGAGAAGCCATCGCAATGAGAAGCCCGTGCATCTCAATGAAGAGTAGCCCCCACTCACTGCAACTAGAGAAAAGCCCATGCACAGCAACGAAGACCCAACGCAGCCAAAAAATTAAAATAAAATTTTAAAAACTAGCCTTGAAAGCCAGTAGTGAGGGGAGATTCTCCCAAAGGGCAGAGCTTCTGGCATCGTACCTGGTCATCCACTTTATGGATGTTTGAATATATAGAGATTCATGCACAGTGGTGGATGGCTTAATTTATTGATCAGCGCTTTTAAATAAGATTAGAAGATTGGAAAGAAGAAAGTATGGAGAAGAGGCATGTGTATGGACCAATGTGCATCATTATAAAGTGAGTAGGTCTTTGTGTCACGAGTTAACACCCACCAGAGAACATCTATCATGGAAGAGGCACTACAAGACAAAGTAGAAGAAAATGACTTGGCCAGTTAATGTCAACTAGCCTCTGTCCTCAGCCATCCCAACACAAGGACAATGGGCTTATGAATGCAGTAACTATTGGTGGCAGTGATGGAGGCTATACCTGGGTACAGTAATGTGAGCTTCCACTCACCAAGGCTGATCTAGCTACTGCTGCTCCCGAAACAGAGTTCAGTGCTGAGCCTGCAATTTGGGAGCATCCTTGGGGGAAACCAACCAGCCACTTCCTGCCAAGATGACTACATTGGACCCTTCCAAACCAAACCTGGAAAGGACTCAATTCATTTGATAGGAATTGATAGGTATTCAGTTCTATCAAATGAACGGTACGGGTTTGACTTTCTTGCCTGTAAGGCCTCAGCTAGTCCTACTATCCAAGATTTCACATACTGCCTGATCCATAAGCGCTGAATCTTGCATAGCATCACAACAGACCATGGGACCCGCTTTATAACAAAGGTATATAGACGTACGACAATGGGATCCACTGGGCCTATCATACACCACACCGTCCTAAAGCTGCCAGCCAATGGACCAACGGAATAGCCTTTTGAAGACATAGCTAAGGTATCAACTTAAAGATGACACCCTGCAGCCTGGGGCACTATCCTTCAGGATGTGACATACGTCTTAAATCAGTGACTATCATATGATACTGCGTCCCCAAGACACAGAATATATGCATTCAGGAAGCAAGGGCTGGAAGTAGGAGCATCCATATTTACCATTACCCAGTGAAGCACTTAGGAAATTTGTGTTTGCTGTCCCTGTAGCTCTAGACTGAGTTTCTAGAGGCCATGGTTTCCAGAGGCAGAATGCTTCCACCATAGTACACACTAAGAGTCCTATTAAACTAAGCTACACCTGCTGTCTCCCCTGCCAAGAGACCAGTAGGCAAAAAAACAATTCGCTCTCCCAGCAGGATGAATCTCTCCTTATCATCAGGAAGAGTCAGGGTTGACAGGGGGCAGGGAGAATACATATAGAACCCAAGGGTTCACGGCCTGAGAAGGCCATGCCGACCAGGAGCTCAGGCTCCCCAAGCTATGTCTTCTCTTAGGTCAGCAGAAGGGCTAGCTGAGGCCGGGAGCAATCTAGAAGAGTAATAAAGGAGGGAGATGATGACTATTAGATGGGACCCCCAGAAGAGCTGTGTAGTGGGACTGTAATTTTCCTTTCACAAGCTTCTCCAGGAAAAGAGATCAACCAGAACCCTGAAAAGGCTGTTTTAAAAATGGCGTGATGGGCTTCCCTGGTGGCGCAGTGGTTGAGGGTCCGCCTGCCGATGCAGGGGACGCGGGCTCGTGCCCCGGTACAGGAAGCTCCCACACGCCGCAGAACGGCTGGGCCCGTGAGCCATGGCCGCTGGGCCTACGCGTCCGGAGCCTGTGCTCTACAACGGGAGAGGCCACAGCAGTGGGAGGCCCGCGTACCGCAAAAAATAAAAATAAAAATGGCGTGAAATTCTTATACAGCAAGTGGATCTGAGCAGTGCAAGGGGTGAACTGCATGGGTACTGCCCAGGTTCCCCTTTGAGGACTGCTTACTCCCGTGGCTGCTGGGAGGGTATCCTCTGAAAGCCCACAGCTGAGCTCTTTCACAGACATCGTTCTCAGTGGAAGCAGCTGTAACACCCAAGTTCACACCTCTCTGGAACCAGCTCATAAGCAAAACTAAGTGATATACCTGTGGCCTCAACTCAGGACCACTCTGACCAGTCATCCTGTTATCGAGTCCAAGCTCATACTGCTTGCTGCACAACAGACCAATAAATAGAGAGAAGAGTTATTGGGGAAAGGAATGGCCACTTTATTCGAAAAGCCAGCAGATGGAAAAGATGGTGGACTAGTGTTCCAAAGAACCATCTTCCCAGATTTAGAATTCAGGCTTCTTTTATACTGAAAAGGGAAGGTATAAAGTCCTGGTTCCAGCCAGACTCCAGAGGGGTTGTATTAATTTCTTCCTTCCTGCAGTCATTCACAGGTGGGCCTGGTCAGGATGCTCCCTGTGGGCTAAACAAAGGTATTTTAGCTTAACACTCATTACCTCGGAGGCAGGGCTCCCAGAGATGGGCCATTATGTAAAATTTAAGCTTATAGGTAACATCACTTTAGTGATTAACTTGTAATAGACTACAAGGTTCTTCCCTATTATAATCCTAGCCTGGGAACTCCCCTTGGGATTGGCTGAGCTCTCGTTGTAACTCCCCTTCTCCCTCTGCCAATCCCGCTTCCTTCCCTGACAGGTGCTGTTCCTGTGCTTCCCTCCATGAGCCACCTGCACATAAATCTCCATTGCAAAGTTTGTTTCCCAGAGAACCGGAATGATGACAAGGCACATTTAGAGATAAGAAGGTAGCCACCAGAAAAAAAACAGTTTACAAAGTTGAAAGTGGTTTTCTCTACGGAGAGGGATAGGGCTGAGTTGAGGTGAGGTGAGAGACTGTTGTATGTACCCTTCTGTGCTCTTCTTTGTTTGTAACGTGCATGTATTACTTCCATAATTAATTTTTTCATTTAAAAATTTTTAAACGTTTAAAGAATTTGATGCTGTCATCCTCCTGTTTTAAACCCTTCCATCACTTCCCATTGCCCTTAAGATAATCCTTAGGAATCTTTAACAAGGCTTGCAAATCCCTCCCCATCTGGAACCTGCTGAATTTCTGGTCCCATTTCTTACCTTCCTTCTCACCCTGTTACCTGCCTTTCTGGACTTCCAGTTTCTTGAATGCCTCTCTTCCTCATCTCCAGGCTCCAAACATGATGCTCCCTTTGTCTGGAATACTTTACTTGCTCTCCCGCCCTGCCCCGCACCTGGGTCCCCCCATTCCTCCATCAGGTTTCAGCTTAGATGTCACCCTGAGAAGGGTGAATTTCTCTACCCCCAGACTATATTAGGCCCCCCTCTATCACTCCCACAGCCCCTGTATTTCCTCTTTCTCAGCATCAATCTCCTGAAATAATCAGTGTAATATCCACATTTCCTTTCATCCTCCACAAGGACTATCTTGTGACTGCTCTTTTACTAGCACCCGGCACATACTACAGCATAGTAGATATCAAATATTTACTGGATCAATGAATTTCGCCAAAATGTTTTCCAGGGTTCCAGCTCTGTAATCTATGACAACTTAAATAACCTGTCTGAACTTCAGTTTACTCAAGTATAAAATGGGGACGAAAATAATACCTACCTTAGAGGGTTGTTTTGAGGATTAAGTGAGATCTGTTGGTGAAGCCCTCAGCACGGTACCCGGCACCCGGTAAGCGTTTGATCGATGCATATGCTCAAACCATTTGCATTCGCAGCAGCAGATTCTGAGACTCACTCTTTACCCTTTCCAACATTGAATATTGTGTTTTTAAATATTTTTGCAAATATTATAGACAAAAAAGAATGGCATCTTATGGTTTTAAGCCAACATGTCTTTTCAAGCCAGCAGTTTTGCTAATAAAATGGCTGTGTCTTGCTGCCCCATGCCACATACGCCATAAAGAAAGCAGCTCTTTGGTGCTCCTCTCTCTTCCTGTCACAGCCTGTTTGGCGGGCAGGGGTTTCTGAGAAGGGAGCCCCCGACGTGGGGGTTGCATTGTGCAAGGCCCAGACAACTAAACTGCAGGCATTTTTCACAGTACCTTCAGGTCTCGCTCATCCAATGGGAGGACGTGGGGCCCAACTCTCCCCAGCCAACCCAGGTGGCTGCCTCTGCCTCGAACGTTTCCCAGTGACGTAGAACCCTGCAGGCCCAGAGGCCCCTCCACACTTCCTGTGTAGGGTTCAGAAACCTGCCTCCCCTCCCAGCCTTAGGTGCCTGCTTCGGAAAATGGTGAGTCTCCCTCTTACAAAGCCCCCTTCTTCATCCCAGCATTGGGAGCAATGGCCCCAGGGTCCTCATCTCCATCAGGGGTTTTGAAAAAGTCCTCTGGCTTCTTTTTCAGAAGTTATAAGCCAACCGGTCTCCGCCATCTTAGGTAGAGTGAGTGTCTGGTGAGGGAAGGATGCAGTCGGGGAATCTCTGGAGAGTTCTGGGACTCTGCCTCTTATCAGGTGAGTAGGATGGAATGAAAAGGGGGGTGTTTCTCCAGACCATGGAAGGCTCACAGCCTAACCTGGTGCTGCCCAGTGGTACCAAGGAACCTCATTTACTAGAAAATATAAAGTGTTTGTGCAATGTTAGCATAGGGAACCAGGGCTGGAGGCTAGTGTGTGCCCAGGAGACCTTTCAGAGAACAGCCAAAGGAAAGTAGTTGGGATGATCATATCTACTGAAAGCAAGGCGGTCTTTGTGCCTCTGAGAACAAGCTCATTCTGTCAATGAACAACCGAGCCCTTAAGAACTAACACAGAAGAGATTAGAAGAGTTAACCTTCACTCTTTGTTGTGAGGAGACTAGATAGTTGAACCCAAACTCTGCACAGGGTATACAGCAAGCTTAGTATCTGAGACAATGAAACACCTCATAATTTTCAGTCTTCTTCAGTTGACCAAGAGCTTTCAATTACTTTAGTCCTTTTTGAAGCAAGGTGGAATATAAATTGATAAATAACCAAGAGCATTTCCATATCTCATAACAGACAAAGAAGATTCTTTTAAAGGTTGCCGTTTATTGAGTGTCAGATACCGTGTTAAAAAAGTCTTTACACATGTTTACTAATTTAATCCTTACCTCCACCTTGGAAGGTAAACGTTATATGGATCCCCTATTTTACAGATAAAGAAACTAATACTCAAAGAAGCTCAATAACTTGTTTAGAACCACACAGTTAGTAAGTGCTGAAGCTGATCTGGGAATTCAGGACTGCCTACGGGCCTGTGCTCTTAATGACAGCACGGCATGAGGCCAGACAGCTCACAAGGGTTTTATTTCAGAGACCTAGAAACTGCTATCACAGCTGGGGCTCCCATCTCAGAGCTACAGCCATGGCTTCTCTACTTCCTGCTTCGTCTTGGGTTTCTCAAGCTTCAATGTGCACACAAATCACGGGGGGATCTTGTTAAATTTCAACTTCTGCTTCAGTGGGTCTGGAGTGGGACTGCAATTCTGCCTTTCTAATAAGCTCTCTGGCTTATTCGTCTGCTACTGATCCAGGAAACACATTTGGAGTGTCAAGGGGCACAGTGTGACTCCTTCAAGGAATTGGCTTAGAGGCCTATAGTATAAACTATGCTCTGCAGAGGGAGAGAGAGAGAGAGAGAATACCAAAGACCCAAGCACCTCTAGAGATTTGGCATCATGAGAATGTGCCCAGTCTGCTCTGGTTAGGCAGGTGCGGGCAGGAGGCAGTTGGGAGGGGTGTCTCACCCAATATAGAGGCTGTTGATAAAAGAGGTACACATAAAACTTTAAGGCAGGACATCCCTGGTGGTGCAGTGGTTAAGAATCTGCCTGCAGGGCTTCCCTGGTGGCGCAGTGGTTGAGAGTCTGCCTGCCGATGCAGGGGACACGGGTTCGTGCCCCGGTATGGGAAGATCCCACATGCCGCGGAGCGGCTGGGCCCGTGAGCCATGGCCGCTGAGCCTGCGCGTCCGGAGCCTGTGCTATGCAACGGGAGAGGCCACAACAGTGAGAGGCCCGCATACCGCAAAAAAAAAGAAAAGAAAAGAATCCGCCTGCCAATGCAGGGGACATGGGTTCGATCCCTGGTCTGGGAGGATCCCACATTCAGAGGAGCAACTAAGCCCGTGTGCCACAACTACTGAGCCTGTACTCTAGAGCCCGCGAGCCACAACTACTGAGCCTGCGTGCCACAACTACTGAAGCCCGCTTACCTAGAGCCCGTGCTCCGCAACAAGAGAAGGCACCGCAGTGAGAAGCCCACCCACCGCAACGGAGGGTAGCCCCCGCTCACCGCAACTAGAGCACTCCCACGCACAGCAACGAAGACCCAATGCAGCCAAAAATAAAATTAGTTAATTTTTTTAAAAAAACAAAAACTTTAAGGCAATGTCAGGGAAACTGATTTTTATAAAGAATCCAAATTACTGTTAAATGCGGGGACTCTGGAGGGCCCAGTGGAAATATGATGGGACTCTTCAATGCACAGGCTCTAGTTGATGAATAATTGGTTTCAAATATTTCCATCTCTTTCTCAAGTAGGAAACAAATTGAAAAACCGAACCATCAGACAAGCAGGAGTCAGAGATGGAACAAGAATCTCCGTCTTTGTACCTAACCCAGAGCTTGTTTTTCTTCCACAGTCAGAGATTTCTTTTCAAAGTTGTGGCTGGGCTGCACACTTCTTTTGCTGTTTCTCCATTCTCCCCAGATGTACCCTCAACATTTTCTAACTTCTGTTTCCCAAGTGTTGTGTGTTCATGTTTAATGTTGTGTGTTCATGCTTTCTTCTTCTGTTTCATCCCGAATTGACCAGGAACCCGTGATCAGTACGCAGCAGTCTTTGTCACGTATCTGGGGTATAGGAATAACTGTGATCCAGCAGTGGGTGGAAAGGACCTTAGATCTTCAGAAATGGGCAGACTAGGCCATAGAACTTTTTCTGCTTGGAATCTCAGGCGCTCACAACATTTACTAACTCTTTTTTTCTTATTTATTTTCTAGTTGGTGCTTGGGCGGAAGAAGGTGAGATATGCTTTCTTTCCTTGTTATGAAATCAGCCCATTGTGTTTTGTATTTATGAGTGGAGTTTTCACTAGACCTCCCACAGAGCTCCCACAGATACCAATAAAAGAGGTTTCTATCATCTTCTCCTTTGCCTTTTCTTCATAAGTCTAGAGAGAGTTCTAGCCAAGAAGAGGAATGAAACAGAGATCATAGGAAATAATGAGCCTTAACTATTCAAAAGAAAAAAATTGAGATAACTAAAAAAAATGCAAACAGTTTTCATTTGTTTGCATTTCGTATTTGATGGGAGATTTTTGTAGAGGGTTTGTGGCTTGAATGCCTGCATGGAGATGCACTGAAAAAGCCTCTGGGGCAGCATTGGAGTACACTTTCAGAATTACATGTCCAAATACTTTGAATGTATGTGCATATGTGTTCATGTGTGCACACGCATGTGAGTGTGCCTGCCCTGGACTTACTTTCTCAGTCATTGCAGAGAGTCAAGAATGTCCCAATATTGGAAGGCTTTCTATTCAGTCAGCTCCTCCAAATTGAGTGAACCAGTTTTGTGTTTAAAGGCAGCCACTGGGCCAGTCTCCATTCCATTGCATTACACTGCCTAATTTGTAGTGTCCTTTGGATACTCTTTTTAATATATCATGGAGAATGTGTTAATGTTACATTATTGACAGATGGGATATGTCAAAAGCACTGATATGCTTCAGAATAACTCACCTCTTCCACATGTTACTGGCCATTTAGGGTTGATTTTGTTTATCATTTAATTGATGCCCAATACAGATCTTCTTCTTTCCCCAGCTTTATTGGAACATAGTTGACATATAACATGGGGTGAGTTTAAGGCGTACAATGTAATGATTTCATAAATATATTTTTTATATTTATATACCAAATATATATATTATATTCAAAATGATTACTTAGAACCCTTTTTTATAATTAGTTACCAGTTGTTTAATGTAGGATCCTAAACAGCTTTTCGTATACAGCCATGGGGAATTTGAATATCCATCATTTTCTTTTTTTTTTTTAACATCTTTATTGGAGTATAATTGCTTTACAATGGGGTGTTAGTTTCTGCTTTATAACAAGGTGAATCAGTTATACATATACATATGTTCCCATATCTCCTCCCTGTTGCGTCTCCCTCCCTCCAACCCTCCCTATCCCACCCCTCTAGGTGGTCACAAACAACCTAGCTGATCTCCCTGTGCTATGCGGCTGCTTCCCACTAGCTAACACATATATATGGAATCTAAGAAAAAAAAAAAAGTCATGAAGAACCTAGGGGTAAGATGGGAATAAAGATACAGACCTACTAGAGAACGGACTTGAGGATATGGGGAGGGGGAAGGGTAAGTTGTAACAAAGTGAGAGAGTGGCATGGACATATATACACTACCAAACGTATCCATTGTTTCTAAAGGTTGAGGGAAGAGTCCTAACCCATGGCAGCAGGGTCTGATCTTAGTAGCTGATAGGGGTATTGCTAATAGTTTCTTATCATTTCCTTTTCAGATTTTGAAGAAACTGGTAAGAGGATTTTCACTCTGTACGACATCCTTTCAAATGTGGAACAGAATGGTCATAGAAGACAATCATAGTAATAAATACTAAGAACCAGAACTATTAGAGGGAAAATACAATTATCTTTCAATGATATGTGCCTATGTTTGTTGCTGTCAGGTCTGATTATAGCTGAGCGTGATGTGTATCCCTGAGCAACCATTCAGGAAAGAATACACATGTGGGTGTTGGAGCCACCACAAGTTTTTGTGTAAATCATGAATTCATTGAAAGCAGAGATGGCATCTTATTTACCTGGCCCAGTGCCTGGCACATAGTAGGTGCTCAATGAATATTTTTTGAATGAATAAATGATCATACACGTGAATGCATCACTAGTTCCTTCCCCTCAAGAAGCTGATGATCTTGGGAATTCCCTGGCAGTCCAGTGGTTAGGACTGCACGCTTTCACTGCAGAGGGCCCAGTTTCGATCCCTGGTTGGGGAACTAAGATCCCTCAAGACAGGTGGTATGTCGTAAAAAAAATCAAAAAAAAGCTGATGGTCTTATTTGAAAGACA